GCATCACAGCAGCTATTAGTGTTTGGTAAAATGCATGAAAAGTAATTTTAAAAGAATTTGTGAGCAATTGTAAGTTAAAATCACAATCAGCTAAAATGCAGCTTTGGATTCTGAATTGTGTGGGAATCCATCTCCCATTTTAATGAAAGTTTCCCATTACCTGAAAATACCCCTGGTGAAATCTCAAATTTACCATATTGCCAAAAAAATTTCAGCCCCATTTCTCAGACCCTCTCAGCCCTTCTCTCTGCACTCCTCCCTGATCTGCCCTCTCTCTCTCCCCCCGTTATCTCTCTTCTCTCGCTCCGTTCGGTCTCCTCCTCCGATTGTCAACGGATTTTGTCGCCAGTATATCTCTTCTCTCTCTCTTTGTTCTCTTGGTCTCCCTGTTTGTGCCCGTTTTTGTGCTCCTCTGCACCGTTGTTGGTCTCTGTTCCATTGGTCTCTGTTCCGTCGGTCTCCTCCTCCGGTTGTCGCCGGTCTCTACCTCATCAGATCAAGACTATCGCCTCTGTAAGTACTCGATTGAGTTTCGTTTCTCTCGATTTGGTTCTGTTTTATTGATATCTATGCTCGCCAATTGATCTCTGTGCTGTTAAGGGGCATTTGGTATGCGGTAATGGGCAAGAATCATATTACTGAGAAAGTGAAAGAAGGGAATATGATTCCTAGGAAATGTGTATTACCACGTTTGGTTATGCATGTGAATCTTTTCTCATATTCCCAGGGAAATTATTTTATTGTGTTTGGTTGATACAAAGTAATGTAATGTATTTCTTCTTAATAATAACTAATTTAAAATATTTTAAGTACTAAAAATTTGATTATTCTTAAGAAACACAAAAATTCTTCTTAGTTTAAGAAATAAAGGCGTGTTGCAGACGGGTAAAACACTATATTGATATTCTTGGGAATCTGAATAACACCATATTGGGTGTTATTCAGATTACCCCATTTTAGAGTAAAATGAATCCCATGGGATTGATATTTCTGAGAATATAAAAATCACAACTCTTGTACCAAACATAGTAATATGTGAAGATTCTCATTCCCACTTAAAAATTACTCCATACCAAACGCCTCCTTAGGATTTTGGTTTTTTTATCTCGTCTTTATGCTAATCTCTGCTCAATCATCTTGTTTGGAGTGGCCTAGTAGTTATATTTGAAATGAAAGGGTAGATAAATTTGATTTCTTTGTACATTTCTATTTTTTGAATTGTGCTTGTAAACAAACTGAAATACAATTGTTTCATAGAGAAGTGGTTTTTGTTTTTGTTATCATTTTTGTTTTGGGTGCAATTGTGGTGCAGATGATGGCTTAACACTTGATCTGTGAACTTCAGGTAAGTTCAAGTGTTGACCGGTTTATTGATTGATGCTCTAATCTTTGCACCTCTTTTTGTTTGGCTGTTGTGTTACATGTATTTAAGTTCTTTTTGTTATAGCATATCTGAAGTAAGTAGGTTTTGTAATGCTGTATCGCCATGTCCTTGTTTATTTTCCATCTGTAATTGATTTATGACTATTAGTTTTATTTTTATTTTGGGGTGGGGTGGTTTAGGTATACTTCAGTTGGGCAATTATTATTATTATTATTATTATTATTTTTGCAGTGTAAGGTAATATATATAATTTTAAAAATCTGGGGTTGTTCGTTTTTTTGGTATTTAATGATTTCTTGTCTCCAGTCTGATATTTAATGGTATTTAAAATCCTATTCTTGTGAATTGTTTATGTGAATATTACTCTGTTTTGCTTTGTGAATGGTTTTGTACATGCCAAGGAACCAGCCATTATAATTGTTTTGATAGTAATGTTGTGTTGATGGTAAGGGTTGTGATTAAAATCCTTGTCTTGGTCATTGTTTATGTGAATATTAGGCTTCCTTGCTTTGTGAATGGCTTTGTACATGCCAAGGAACCAGGGGTTATAATTCTTAGCACATTAATCATGTTCTTTTTAGTTCATTAATTCAACTTGTTTGTCTTGTGAAACTCGTGTTAATGTTTATTGAGAAAATGTTGGTAGTACTTTCAGTCATCATTTGTTCAAATGGAGGGTAGTGTGCCACAAGATAAAGTAATATGGGATTCGAAGGCTGTAGGCTTTTTTTGTGATTTGTGTATCAAAGAGGTTGAAGGTGGATATCGACCTGAAACACATCTTGAAAAAGTTGGATGTGAAAATGTAATTCATAAATTTAATGAAGCAACCAAACGAGTATATAAAAGACAACAATTGAAGAATAATTGTGATGCTTTGAAGAATGATTGGAAGGTTTGGAAGGAACTTATTGGAAAGGAAATTGGCTTAGGTTGGACAATAAAAAGAATACTATTGAAGCATCTGAGGAATGGTGGAATAATAAAACCTCTTCTATATTCATGAAATATATGCTTTATAATTTACTAATTCTTTGTGTTTTTATTTCAATAGGTAAATGCTATTTAGTTGACGCAGGTTATCCATAATTAAAAGGATTTATTGGACCTTATAGAGGAGAATGATACCATTTAGAATAATTTTGAATGGGTCGTCGACCAACTGGCTATAAAGAGGTATTTAACTAAGCACATTCTTCTCTTCGAAGTGTCATTGAACACACATTTGGTGTCTGGAAGAAAAAATAGAAAATTTTGAAAAACATGTCAAATTATTCATTTGCGAAGCAAGTGAAAATAGTTATTGCTACAATGACGCTCCATAACTACATTAGGAAGCATGATAAACGTGATCGACATTTCAAAGGGTCGGGGATAAGTCAGATGTTTTCATTTGTGAAGAGAATCAACAAGATGACAATAATGTAGAAGAGAATCAAGCTTTACTATCACTAGAAATGGATGAAGTACGAGATCAAATTGCGATAACTTTAATGAACACGACTTAATTCTTTTCATGGCTCTACCAGTTTTGAACATGGAATGTACATTTTTATTGTATATGTTAATTACTCACTAATGCTCCTTTTAGTTGTAACTATATTGTGAATGAAGAAATGAAAAAAATAATAATTATCACTAAATTTACTGTTAGAAAACTCAAGATCATAGCATTTTTTTTTTTTTTTTGTAAGCTCAACAAGTATTTCTAAATACCAAAAATATTTATATATATTTAAGTTTCATACAAATGTCTATTTTTGTCATTTTACATTCCCACAACAATGCAACCTCAAAATTTACCAAACGTTATTACACTGATTTTAAAATCAACACAACTAGTATAATTACATTTTACCAAACACTCAGCTGCTTCTTGTAACAACTACTTTTTCTTTTAGCACAACTAAACGTAATTTTTTTAAAAATCTACAACACTACCAAACTAAGCTTGAGCAATGAGAACAGATAAGAACTTTTGAATCTCAGTTTTCCATGCATGCCAGTACTCCTTACTCCTTACGTATGAGCTCAATCAATGTCATTTCCTTGAGTTGAAACTCATTTCTTTCATTTACTCGAAGTGATTAAGGAACATCAGAACAGAACTAGCTTAAATGTGCTGTGCTTTCTTGATCTTTTTTTTTTTCTTTCCTTTTCTTTTCTTTTTTCTTTTTGTGCTATTAATAACTGAGAGAAGATGGAGGGAGTAAATTGGAAATTTCATGCATTTATGGGCTGAAGTGGAGCAAAATGGCATAGTACAATGATTTCCATTCTTGCCTGTTACACTTTCATTTTTTTTAATCTCTTTTTAAACAAGGATAACACTACAATACAATAAAAGATGTATTTATCGATGCTAATAATTCTTGACGCTTTTATATCATCGAAAATATTCACACTTATTGACGTTATTTTAAAAAGTTAGCATCAGTAAGTATATTTGGTTCCTCACGGGGTGAATTTTGTTGACTAGAAACTTCCCGACGCTTATAAGCGTCGAGAAATTTTTAGGAATTAAGTTCAGAATGCCATATAGCGTTGGGAAGTTTTTTGAGAATTAAAAATTAATTTTTTGACGGTATGTTGGCGTAGGGAAGTTTTTGGGAATTAAATTAGCGACGCCATATAGCATCAGGAAGTTTCTTGAGATTTAGAATATAATTTTCTGACGCTATGTAAGTGTCGAGAAGTTTTTAGGAATTAAATTTACAACAGCATGTAGCGTTGGTAATTTTTTGAGATTTGGGATATAATTTGCCGATGCTATTTAGGCATCGGGAAGTTTTTAGAAATTAAATTTGCAACACCATGTAACGTCAGGAAGCTTTTGAAATTTGGGATATGTAAGTTTCAAATACTTCCCAATGCGCAAAGGCATCGAAAAATTGTTTTTTTAAAGTAAAATAATTTTAGAAAAAAATAACAAACTTCCCCACGTTATGGAATCAGGAAATTTTGAGAATTAAATAATTTTTTAATGAGCAAAAATTAAAACAAATTCAATTTTGAATACAATCTTCAACTCTTAATAGGACTTATTCACCACTCTCTCCAGTCTCAACTCTCTCCTAAAAACTCTCTCTCTCTCCTAAATTTCATCAACGCTCTCTCTCCCCCTCAAACTTCCTGCTCTCTCTCCCCCTCAAACCTTCTCAACCTGCATGCATATTTCTTTCTCTTGAGCTAGGCGCTTCCAATAGATTGTATGAGTATTTTTTTTTTTTTTAAAAGTCAATGTTTTTTATTATTATTATTATTATTATTATTATTATTATTATTATTATTATTATTGTAGTTATTGTTGTTGATGTCATTGTTGTTATTATTTGTTTTTTTATCACCGGGTATTTCTTTTTTTTTTTAAGGTGAGCATTCTTTTATTATTTTAATTTCTTCTTCTTATTATTATTATTCTTATTACTATTCTTGTCATTCTTGTTATTGTCGTTGTTCTTATTATTATCTTTTAAAAATTGAATATTTTTTAAAAAAAAATCATATATAATAATATTAAATGTGTAGTTTTCATGTTTTTTTTTGTTTGATTTACATATAACTCCTAATATTTTTAGTGACTTTAACATTTTTATGTTCTTTTAGTTGGTCAAAAATGTCTATAGACAAGAGTTGGACATCGTTACCTAATCGATTGTGTCCGGAGTACATAACTGGGGTTCGAGAGTTTATCCAAAGAGCTCAAAATTCAACTAATGCAAAGGGGGATATAAGATGCCCATGTCGTGATTGTGGTAATGTATATTGGTATCCGGCAAGAATAGTTCAAGCTCATTTGATTGATAGAGGGATGCAAGAAATATATAAAGAAGAGACTGAGGTTTTGCATGGTGAAACTATTAGTGATCCTCCTGTAGCTAAACAAGTTGCGCCTAATGCTGAGTTAAATGACGATTGTTATGATCTATTGCACGATATTGCCAGGTCTAGCTATGGCCATGTGGAAAATGATGATGATGATGATGATGATCCTATGGATGCATCGACTGAAATTCCAAGAGGATCAACAAATCCTGAACAGTTTGTTGAACTGTTTGATGATTTGAAAAAACCTTTATATCATGGTTGTGAAAAGTTTTTGGCGTTGACATTCGTTGTCAAATTGATGCATATGAAGGTCATGAACAAATGTAGTAACAAAATGTTTGACATGTTGCTTAAATTGTTGATTGAGACATTTCCAGAGGCAAAGTTACCGAGTTCACATTGCGAGACAAAATCATATTTACGCACTCTTGGCTTAGGGTATGAGCCTATTCATGCTTGTAAATATGATTGTGTCTCGTTTTGGAAGGAGAATGCAAAGTTAGAAGAGTGTCCGATGTATAAGATGAGTCGTTGGGTTGATAAAGATACCAAGGGGAAAAAAATTCCTCATAAGGTATTGCGTTACTTTAGGTTGGAGCCTTGTGTAAAACGGTTATATCAATCAAGCCATATTGCAAAAGATATGAAGTGGCATGAAGTTGGTCGAAGCAAAACTGATGGGGTTTTAAGACACCCAACTGATGGAAAGGCATGGAAAAATATTGACAAGATGTAGCATGACTTTGCGAAGGAGCCAAGAAATGTGAGGTTAGCATTGGCTTCTGATGGGTTTAATCCTTTTGAAAACATGAGCAATGCATGTAGAATGTGGCATGTGATTGTGGTTCCGTATAACATGCCGTTGTGGAAGTGTATGAAGGAGTCTGCATTGATCATGACATTGTTGATTCCTAGGTGTAAAGCTCCAGGAAAAGATATAGATGCTTATCTACGCCCATTTCTAGATGAGCTTAAGGTGTTGTGGGAAAAAGGAGTTCGAACATATGACAAAGAGGAAGACGCCTATTTTCATACGCATGTTGCATTGTTGTGGATGATAATTGACTTCCCTGCTTGTGAAAATTTGTCCGGTTGGAGTACAAAAGGATATATGGCATGTCGTGCGTGTAATGAAGATACTTGTTCATGTCGTCTTACAAGTAAACCGCATGTTGCATTGTTGTGGATGATAAATGACTTCCCTACTTGTGAAAATTTGTCCGGTTGGAGTACAAAAGGATATATGGCATGTCCTGCGTGTAATGAAGATACTTGTTCATGTCGTCTTACAAGGATGTTATCTTGATAGCGAACATCCATTTTGTCATGACAAACAGTGTAATGCTTTGTGAAAATAAGGATGGCTTTGTGGAAATAAGGACAGCTCAAAGGGTGAGAAACGATGAGGAAATCTTGAAACAACTTCAACATGTTAATGTTGTTCTTGGAAAGCATCTTAATTTTTTGGCAGAAAGAAACGTAAGCATGACAAGAATCAACTAAACTGGACGAAAAATTGTATATTCTTTGAACTTCCGTATTGGTCAAAGCTTAACTTGAGGCACAATCTTGATGTTATGCATATTGAGAAGAATATTTGTGATAGTGTAGTTGGTACTTTACTTAGTATTGAAGGGAAGTCAAAAGACACAGATAAAGCCAGAATAGACCTTGCGAGCTTAAAGATAATGAGAGAGTTGTATTTGAAAAAGTAAGGAGACAAGCAGATTAAATCCCATGCAGCCTACACATTGACTAAACATGAGCGTCGAAAATTTTGTGAATTCCTTAAGTCTGTCAAATTTCCAGATGGTTTCGCAGCGAATATTGAAAGGATTGGCAAAGTTTCTGGATTGAAGTCGCATGATTGTCACATGCTTTTGCAACAGTTGTTGGAAGTTGGAAGTTGGAATTAGGCTATTTCTCACACGACAAATACGAGATACACTTTCTGAGTTAAGTAATTCCCTTAAACAATTATGCTTAAGGACTTTACATGTCAAAGACTTAGAAGATTTAGAAAAAAGGATTGATGTTATTCTCTCAAAACTTGAAAGAATATATCTTCCAACTTTTTTTGATATTATGGTTTATTTAGCTGTACATTTACCTCGAGAAACTATTCTTGACGGTCCAGTTCATGCTAGATGGATTTATCCTTTCGAACGATATATGAGAACTCTTAAATAATATGTTCGAAATAAAGCTTGCCCAGAAGGATCAATTGCAGAACGTATATAGTGAATGAAGCTTTGACTTTCTGTTCAATGTATTTTCATGGGATAGAAACAAGATTCAATCGGCCTGAATGAAATTATGATCCACGAAACAACACTTCTCAAACACAATTGTCAGTTTTTGGATATCAAGGTCGTCCTATAGGAAATAAGGACTTAATCATACTTGATACGAAGTTTTGGAATGATGCACATTGGTTCATTTCAAATAACTGTCCAAAGATTAGAAAATATCTTGAGCAAGTGCATTTGTCTATACTATGTCCTTTTTATAGCTATAAATTGTGCTTATACTAATCTATATTTACAATAAATTTGTGTAGTGAACACATGAAAGAGCTGGAGAAAAAATATTCACGAGACTTGGAAAAAAAGTAGAAACAAGAATTTCCTGCATGATTTAAGAAACGAGTAAGTACTCATGAGTAAGATTAACTTTGTCAACTTTATGATAAGCTTAAATAAATTCGTCTTTTTTTAGATGGTTGACTCTTCAGAAGGAATAAATGAGTTATATTACTCGTCCTGCGGTCCAGAGCTTGTCGATGGATCTTACAGTGGATGCAATGTAAGTGGTGTCAAGTTATAAATTAAAGAGCGCAATTCCAGAAGAACAACACGAAATAGTGGAGTATTTGTGCCTGGATCTGATGATGGCACATTACCTTATTACTTTGGTTTTCTAGAGGAAATGCTTGATCTTACATACGTCAAACAAGATTATCGTGTTCTACTGTTCAAGTGTAAATAGTTCGACACATCACCATAGAGAAAAAATGTTATCTACGAGTCAAAAATAACAACTTTATGTGCAAACAAAGAGTGGTATAAAGATGATCCATTCATATTCGCATCCCAAGCTCGGCAAGTATATTACGTGATTAATCCACTCATAGGTGCACCGTGGCAAGTTGCAAGAACGTTTAGCCATAGACATCTATGGGATATTCCTGCCAAAGAGAGTGTTGAAAATGATGACATGTGTAGGAAGATGATTTGTCAGATGGACACTTCCCTTGTATGACTCTGAGATGGACGAACTATCAGTCCATCGCCTCGATGTAGATCCAAAAATTTGCACTAGTGATGTAGATAGCATAGTTAAACTTGCTAATATTGATGTGGACGACTTCAAAGAGGAGGAGGAAGTAGATGAAACTCTAGAAGAGTATGTAGATGATGAAGTCAGGGAAGACGATCAAAGCGACTATGACAGTAATGAGCCCATTGACTTAATAGTTGAATTGTCATGAGTAGAAGAATAGGGGTAGATGTCCGCCTACACGTCTTGCTTTTACTGCTATATCGGGAGTAACTCCACGTATTGCTTGACGTAAAACAGATAGTGGATTTGTTTCTGTTTTTTGTTGAATCTTTTTCATGGCTCGATAGATAATTTGATAAGCCAATGATTTTTTTTTGTGTTTCAGAATACGGTTAACCAACATGTTAACTAATCGATTACGAGAAATTGGATCGGATTTTGCAGTTTTTTCTTCTGCAGTACCTCGACGTGACATGAGCGTGAAAGGGTAATAAGTTTTATTTTTATAAGGGCTAAAATCATTTATTTTGGCTTTTTTACCCCATATTGTAGGGTGGATCTCAAAAAATATGCCAGATTTAATCTTAGTCAAACAAATTACACAGTTTTTTATATTTAGATATTTTTGTTCAACGCAATTACCTTTTCTTTATATAAGATTTTATAGTGTGCTTTTTAGGGATATTGTGTATGTTTCTTTAATGAGATTTCATATTCGTTTCTAATAAAGCAAATAAATTGCAATAATAATAAAAATATGTACGTATCAGGTTTTAAATAGTAAACAGGTTTAAAAAAGTCTTAAATATTCAAGATGGGAGATATATATATATATATATATATATATATATAGTTTATGTATCTCGTTTTAAATATTAAATTGAAGATATACTATGCTATATATATAATTATGGGCAAGGTCTCTAGTCAGGCACTTGGAAAGTGCCTGACCAGAACGGCACTTGTATATTTTTGTATGAAGTGTGTATATTTACAGTAAGTTGTGTATATTTACAGATAAATTGTGTATATTTACTTGACACTTGTATAATTGTGCAATCGTGTATATTTGCATGTAAATCGTGTATATTTACATATAAATCATGTATGTTAAGTTATAAAAAATGACAATATATATTAATCCTCAAAACATGTTTTTTTATAGCAATTAGTGAACACATAACATAAAAATACGTATATTGACTGATTTGTTGTATTTCATGTTAAATATACACAACTTTATATGTAAATATACATAATTTATATATAAATATACATAATTTATACACGATTATACAAGTATCTAATTAGAGACAATTCCTTATAATTGAAAAAAAATAAAAAATAAAAAATAAAAAAGGAGACCCCACCCTTAAATTTCTCCTCCCAATGGACGGTTACAATCCACGGGACGATAAGCGTCCACCTCCATAATCTTCTTTTTTTGCTTATTTCCTTAAAAACTTACTCTAAGCGTGCGGTTTTAAGAGCCATAGAACCAACTCCTCAGATTTTTTTGCCTCAAATCTCCTCAGAACCACTCTCTCCCACTCTCTCCACCTCCTTTTACTCACCCATTCTATGCAATTAATTTCTCTTCCTTTCTTCGTCACACCCACCGGTTCTTTGCCGCTGCCCTCGCCATCGTTTTCCACCTAGCTAGGCTGACACATCCGGTATATATTTAGTTGTTTGAATTTTTTGCTTCAATTTTTTTGTTTTTCTTTTTTTTTTTCTCCTCCTCTCTCTCTCTCTTTTATGTGTTGAGTAACATTGAAAGGCTTTAGGAAGTCTGGTAGGTTTTATTATAAGTGTTACTCATCAATTGGATTTATCTGCCTTCACATGCCTATTTTTCACATTTGAGGAATTATGGTTATTAATATTGACTAAATAATTGGATCCCAAATGATGCGTACTAGGTGTTTGTTGAAATGCCTATTCTTTCATTCATCTCAAAACACTAGGTGTTCATTGTTTTAGGATGTTTCCAACTGTTATATTCGGATCCCAAGTAGGAAATATGGAATTTAGGGCCCTTACTATCTTTTGGGGGGTTTGGTTTCATAGTAAGACAGTGTATGTATATGTAGTTAATGGGCATACATACACAAACGACACACACACATATATATGAACGACGAGACCACGTGATGCAAGCCTTTTCCAATAAACGTTTATTCATTTAATTGTTTAAAGTCAGTTCTTTTTTTTCCTTTTCTTTAATTTCATTTTTTTCCCTGATGAAGAATGTGAAGTGTTGGATGATATATTATTGTACATATATTGTCTTTTGGAGTACTATTGTTTTTGGTTCCTATGTTTAGTCCTTGTGTACTATTGTTGATACCTATTTTTTTCACAAGGCACAAGTCCAGTCCATATCCCGCGATATGGCCCAAGGTACGGTACGTAGATTCAAGCCACACTTCGAGGATCTTCAAGTAGACCATG